ATTCAGAACAAATGAAAACATGGTGACATGAATTCCACTCCACTCTGAACGTAGCACGCCGTGGGCTCCAGGAGGTGCTAGGAGAGCTGTCTCCTATGCAACAGCGGACAAATGAAGCACACATAAGAGAGTGAATTTTCCCAATTTTGAACCTCCTTGTGTCCTCAATTTAAGACTTGAACATTAATGTAAATGTAATATATTTCCTATAGCTTTAAGGATACTTAACAAGTAACAATTAAGAAACAAGTGAAAAAATTTGTACAATAGATTACCTTTTAGTATGACTGTAAGACAGAAATAATTCCCTTGATAACAGCAATTTATCATCTTCTGCTTATTCTTGTCAATACATACCCATTTTGAGGTCACTAAATCTGAATTAACCATCTGACAGATCGTAATGGCTTCAAAGGAGCCATTATGGCCAGTCACCCAGAAGAAGTTTGAGTCCTTATATTGAACAGAACCTGTAGACAGTATTGAATATCTTTATTAAAAATCAATAAAGAGAGAGAGAGAGAGAGCAAGCACATGTGGTCTGGCAGGTTGAAGCCTTCTACTTCTAGGGCAGTTATACATAAATTCCCACATAGCTAGGTGATGAATGAAGAAATTTGACAGTAGTAGCTCCTACCCAACAGACAAATAATTTTAGTCAGACCTCAGAGAACTGGTGAAATTCACTGACAGTAGAGAGAGTCTAAGGCTTTTCATGACAGGACAGACCCACCTTCTTAGATCAAGGTGAAGAGACTTGCAAGGAAGCAGAATAAAACATGGTTTGGTGTTTTTTTTTCTGCAGACAATGTGTTCAGGATATTAATATTCAGTTTCATACTTCTTATATTCATAGCATACGGGTATTTGTGACAACAGAACATCCTTGGGTTTTGGTTTGGTCCAATTTCAAGGCATGATGAGAAAAATAAACTTACATCCCACCCTTTCATCCTTCACCCACTATTCAAGAGAAACCCATCCAATTTTCATATTACTATCTATAAAATCTAACCAGTTTATCCTGCAAAGCAAATTACAGCTAGACAAAGGAACAACGTGCTCTTAGTGTCCCTCTCGTGTCCCGCCTAAGAGAGGTTCACTGGATTTTTATAGGACACAAGAGAGCAACTGTAATGTGAACACTGGAGAGAAAAGGAATAAAGAATGGAGTAAATAAATAAAAATGAACTAGGGGGAGGCACAAAGATTGAATAGAAAGATTAAGTTATGGGTGACAGGAGGGAAAACAGACAGGACAGAAGATGGGTGCCCTAGATGGAAACTCTTCTCCACTGTTTTTCTTCTGTGGGATTGGGCTGAAGGTGCTGTTTGCCTGATGCAAATTTCGCTACTGTCAGATAAAAAACTCTTTCAGGAACATTAGATCGGTACCAAAGACAAGATCTTACTTAAGTGCTGAAATAAAGTGTAATAGTTTTCATTACCATTTCTATTCAGCAAAGTTATGAAGAATAAGGAGAAATGGCATGGTGATACTGAAACAGTATATAAAACCAAAGGAAAACAAAGTAATTTTAGGATCAGAAATAAGAAGCATATAGACCAGGGTATAGAACACACTGAAATAACAGGAAAATACAGGAACAAAAACATAACTGAAGTCGCTTGGAAAGTGTACCCTATAGACTCAAATGTTGTTTGAGAAACTAGTGAAGAAAACCAGGGAAAAGCCCCCTGGGAGATATATTTTAAAAGACAAGACCAGCTCTACTTCTCCTCGCTGCCAGTTGTGCAAATGAAGCCATGCAGCTCAAGTACTCAACCTAACTCCATTTGCCTTAAAGAGAAAATGACTCAAACCAAAACTGGGAATCCCAAAGTAAACCAAGTCACCTACAGAGAAAGGACACAAACAGAAATTTTGTTGGCATTGTTCTATTGAAATGAATAAAAAAAAAAAAACCAACACAATTTCCATGAGATAGAGAGGAATCTTCTGGGCTTATCTGAATATCCTAATGGATATACTATATAACAAATGTAGAAGTCGTTCCTTATTTAATTTTTGATTTCACATGCTGCATAAGAATTGCCAGTCTCGGAAGAGAAGATCATTTATCCTCCCAGACAGCACAAGCACAAACTATACATCTTTTGCCGCCAAGAGTCAAGTTCAAAGAAGGAAGACAATCTAATTTTCAAGTTTAATTCAATCCATAATATTATTTTTAAGATAATAACTGAGGTCACCCCTTGTAGCAGAAGATTTCCTGGAAAAAGACCAGTAAGTTGTTGGGAAGTGGATCTGAGCAGTTGCATATCACTTTTGTCATAGAGCAAACTCTGCTGCTCGCTTTTACAAGCAGTCAGTGCTATGATTTCACCTACAACCTGTATATGAAAGGCAATACCACTGCATTATCAACGTGGCAAATCGCAGCTTCATCCCTCCAACTTTCACTGTGTAAGAAAAATTCTCATAAAAGTCCATTTTGTGATGTGACTGTTCTTTTAGGCACAAGACCCTTCCCTCTGTGTAATAACTTTCCAGCACTATGAAAGCCAGAAATTAAACTCTTAGATTTGAAGGGCTGGGTGAGTAATTACAGCTCTGTACGCAAGATCAACTATATTAGGAGATCTTTGAGTCTGCATGATTTGACCAAAGAAATGCATCCACATGGCTCATCTTGAAGCACAGGAGCCAAAACAAACCTGTAAAAACTGGAGGTTTAATAAAATAGCAATCTGGCAAGAGTCAAGATCTATCACAAATCCTTATTTATGCTGTTGTCCAGCCTTCACAAAAATATTCTAGATTTTTTAGTAAAGCTGACAAAGGCAGTGATAACTCTTAATTCCTACCAGGTATGTGAAAAGGCTGACTTTTCCCAACAAGAACCAGCATATGCAGCTTTTAGAAACTTTTCTACTGACCACAGAAATAAAACATGCAGCTATTTTCATTCAATCCTATCTTTTTGGACATGAAATGTAAGAATGAAGGCCTTCCTCCTCTTTCTTTTCTTTTTTTTTTATTTCTGCAGAAAGGAACAGGTACTGCCACAAGAGGTGTACTATCAGAGGTAGGTGACTTTCATTTGCCTCTTAAAGACCAAAGCACAAACGCCTGAAGTATCCAAAGCTCTGTGCAGGTAAATCATGTTAAGTTTTGTCATTCTTCTCTTGCTAACTGGGACTACTTCCAGATGCAAAGTAGCAAAAGGTTCAGTTTCTCAGCTGCTTTCCACTATTAGTTTTGACGGACATCATCTTGTCTGGGATCCAATTATCATTTAAGCATGATACTCACCCATGTGTGACTGAAAAAGGTAATTATCCTTTACAAATTCTCTACTGGCTGTAACAGTAAAGAATAAACACAGCCTTATCTTGGCTACCTGAAACTAAATGCACAAGAGCTCGAGTGGCTTTCTAGGGTTATTGTTCAACATCTCTCTCATTGCAGTGGTTTTTTTTTTCTATGCCTCTAATCTGCATGAGCCAGCTATCTCCGGTTTACTTTTCTTTCCTCCTTCCATGTCTACAATATCAACTGGTCTCAATCATATACACTGATTTTTTCATTGCATAAACGCTTCTTTAAAATTATCTTTTTTTTCTACTACTGTCTTAATTTAACTCCTTAAAAAGTCCTAATTTTTCTTGCCTGTCATAAGGCATGCAATCAGAGACAAACCATGTTTTTTCATCTCTAGAAATGCCTTGCCTAACACAGGAACTTAAAGATTCAAAATGTCATTCCTTTAGCAAATATATTATAGATCTCACTCCAATCTACTGCATAGTTTTTCTCTCTTTTCACTACATCTTCTGTCTTGTTGCAGAAGCTGACCACTGTTCATGAGGTATCCTCTACACTGGCCTTTGGTAACCTTTCTCAAAGTCCCTCCATGGAGCTGTGCCATGAACGGCTCTAAAGGTGCTGAGATGAAATGAAGCTGGAGCACCAGAGCAGCAATCCTGCCTCCACAACTGCTCTTGCTCCTGCTCTCATAAAATACAGGTCGGCTCCTCTGCTCCACGACACATATAGCACACCTTGGTGCCTGTGTTTGAGTGCATTTTACTAACTGCAAATATTTTGAGGTGCAATTTGGAAAATCTTTTACTAAAAGCAGCCCTAACATGCTACTTCTGTTCTGCTCCTCCATGCCCTGTAAGCAGCCAGGACAATGAGATACATACTCTTTTTAATGTTTCAGATGTGAATGGCAGCCAATACCCTTCTGAGAGTAGGTGCAGGCAAAGCAGATGGGAGGGGAGCATACCAGAGGCTCCTGAACCATAACACAGCTGCTAAATCCAGCATCTGATTCAACAGGCTGTGATGGAGAAAGCAACCCTTCTCAAACCAAAATCACAGTGCGAATACTCTTTCTTCACAGAAAATGATCATTAAAATAAACACTGTGTTAAACAAAATAAGCGGGAGGTGATTCACATCCACATGCATCACAGCCTTCAGGGAAACCTAAAAATCAAATGTCATTTCTCCCTTTTCCGTTGCAAATACACATGAAGTACTCAATCAAACTAAAAACAAACACACAAACAAAAAGAATCAGTTCTTCCAAGGCTGGAAATAAATATTCTAGTATTATAGTGAACTCATAATGTGTTGATTAAAAAAAGGTCAGAAATAATACATGAAAATATACTGCGCAAACTATGTACCATTTTCAAACTTACCTGAGGATTCCCTAAAGTTTTTGCTTTTCCCTGCACATGCACTGTACACACAGAGACACACAAAATGTCAGTACACTGTGACAGAAAATTAAGAGAAGGTGAGTGCAAAGGCCTCGTCTACAGAAGTGTTAGGCTTTTAGCTACCTCCTTGCAGACCCCATCTACAGCACCAAGAAGTTGCCCACTACCATGCTGGGTTAGCGAGAGGCTAATGAGGATCTAGTGGTGAGTGGAGGCGTTGGACAGACCACAGCCGGGGGTTAGTGTGAGCCCAGGCCCGCTCCCGAGTGGCAGGAGCAAGGGAGGCGTGGAGGGGCACTTACTGACGCTGCCACAGACCGCCATGCAGTACTCCTCCGAGTCAAAGTTGTTCCGGTTCCCGCGGCAGCCGCCGTAAAAGAAACCCGCCGTAAAAGAAGGGCGCGCACTTTCCTTTGGTCACGTCAAAGTACCAGCGGGTGATCATCGCGCGGCAGGGACCAGTCTCGGCTTGCTCAGAGCACACCTCTAGTCACAGGAGACCCGGAGGAACCACATTTAGCATAAAAATTGTATTGTCTCGGTTTCTTAATTGTGCCTCTCAATGTCCATGCACGCGAGCGAGGAAGGAGATGCACCGAGGAGGTGTTTCGAGGAACAGGAAACCCTTCCCCAGAAAACCACCCCGGAGACAAGGAAGGTAAATATTGAGCTAACTCAGATTCATGTCACTAAGTCTCCTTAGCCTGCCGATACTTTCATTTTTGTAGCTGCTTTATCCACGCTCACTGAGGGTGCTGCCCTGAAACAAGCTCCTGGTGGCTCATTGGTGGCAACGGCACAAGCATTAAGTCTTGTCTGCTTCCAGGCCAGAGGGGTACAACCACCTCCCCCCCAGCTCCTGCCTGCAGCACCACTGGCTGTCCAAGGGGTCTGCCTACAGCCCTGGGCAGATTCCTGCCCAAGCACCCACTCGGTATCTGTCTGGAAGGGGAACACCTGAAAGCAGAAGGTGCCACTTTTTTTCTTGCTGTTTTTTAGCTATACATCCCCTCTCCCTACCCAACTGAGAAGGTCTCCTAGGTCATACAAAAGAAAAAAAAATATTTATGAGTTATAGAGGAAAACAAATTCTCTTCTGACACCTATTTATATATAGTCACTGCTGAAGAAACTCCCTCTTGCAAGCTGCCTGGCACAGGGTTGATAATTTATAGTTCAAGGGCTCACATATATAAAATTACTGCCATAGCTTTATCCCATTCATGGGAGGAAATCCTGTCCCCAGTGAATATATACAAGAAAAAATTAGAACAGTTTGTGTTTGTGTTCATTGTGAGCTGCTACAGTCTCTGCCTACATCCTGCAACACATGAAAACCTGAGGGAAGAACCAAACCACACAAATTAAAGGAAGACAAAGCAGATTCTGCCCACAATTTGGAGTTCTGCCAATTACACACGTAAACGTATAGCCCTTTAACAATAATGTTCCAAACAGAAAAAAGTGTTTTATCTTTCAATGTGCTGCGTAAGTTGTTTCAAACCTACATAACGTTAAATGCCAATACGCCTCTCATTTGCTTTCATCCCATGCACCGCATCAGCAGACAAACTGGTACGTTCAACTAGAGGCTTCTAAATTCTCTGCATATATTTGAATTTAGTGGAAGGCAGATCCCTAAGGGTCGAAAGGTATGAAGAAATATCAGTGCATTAGCATTGAAAATTCCCCTCACGCCCACCACCTCTTGGATGCTGGCTACAAAGAATCCTGCCTTTCAGAGTCTGTCCTGACCCTTCCCTTCACTCTCCCTGGGAGCACTGCTATTTATAAATAGATTTTATATTCAATTGGCATTGGTAGTCAGTGTCTATCTACATTTCCTTAAATACATAATACAGGTATAATTTTACATGTGTTTAACATATTCACATACAGAACCTAGAAATAACGTCAAAAATAAATTTTAAGGAACATCCATTTGGTCTAAGAGAAACAGATCCACATGCAATCATCACGGATGTGCCACAAACGTTGCAGCTCTGTACAAACAATTAGAGGGAAAGGAATAGCAGTGTGAAGAAATGTTAAGTTTTTTAGTTTAAGAAAACACAAAAGTGTACTTAATTGTAAAACACATTAATTACAATTATTTGTATACCACCACATGATTAATTATATGTCGGATTTAGTATACAAGTGATTCTTCCGATTTATTTTAAAATAAAATCTAGCCTCATAGTCCAATTACACCGTCAAATCTTCACACAAAGCTAACTCTGCACAGCCTTGGAAGAGCTGCCACATGTCAATTAAAAATGAATACTGACTCTTGACATTAAAGAGACAGGTATAATCAAGAGAATTTTTGCTGACAGGAATTGAAATTTCAAAAACCACAAAGGTCTCAACAACTCAGTCTTTCTTAGTCAATGCTAATGATGGGCTGACCTCTACCCAACACAATAAGCACCTTCCAGGTCTCCCTCAAAATACTAGTCTTGCTACAAAGTCTGATTTCTTTCACTTTGCACTGTTAAGTGTTATCAGGATGGGAACGGTTCACTGATTCAATCTGAAATTTCCTATAGGTACCTCCTTCACAGAAATAGCAGCAGAGATTCTTTTGCATGTGCAAATAATATGCAAAAGTGATGGTAATTGTCCACAAATAACTAATGCCAGTGATAACAGGGAATTGTCTCTTTGGAAACTGAAGTCATTCATACACATGGAGATGCACTTGAACAAGCATTCAGGAAACCACAAGGTAACACATCAAGAAGAGCCAGCCTGAAGCACTGCAGCCCAGTGTTATGGCCAGGGACCTGCCTGCTGCCTGACCTGTCACCTCCCACTAGACTGGTGGTGACACTGCAGGGCAATGGAGGGACATCTTTCCCTCCAGCCTGCACAGCTGATTGTACTGCTCTTGGTGAGACCTCAATGGTAATCATTTAAGCGCAGAGAGAAATGGTCCACTGTGCAATCAGTTTATGACCTAAATGAAGATAAACAAGAGAGGGGGGGAAAATGCTCTGGGTTACTGGTTTTATGATTGCTCTGTTTGAGGAAAGCATGCTGATGGTCCAGTCTAGGAAATGTCTTGCTGCTGTCATGCCTTTCCCAGTGATGCCACCTCCTAGTCCCTGTGGAAGGCTCAGAGTAGTGCTCCTTCACCATTGCTTTGGGGCAAATATACATTTTTAAACCAGCTTCAAAGCCAGGAAAATGGTCCCATCGCCCCTTCTGGTGGGTCAGTTGCTCCTCTCATGCTTCTCCATATCCTCATCGCTTGCCTTCATACAAAAAAGCCAGGACATTTGATCCTCAGCTGTACCACCACAACTGAAAAGGTGGGGAAATGAAGTACAAAGATGGGAAATTCATCAAGCTTTCTCAGGCTATTAATCCAAACACTGTTTCCCCTTCCACTGCTACCGAGTGTAGCAATTAATGCCTGTGATGGATGAGCTACGGTATTTTCACAGATATTAGCAGCAGGCAGGCAGCATACCCTGCTAAATGATTCATCAAAAAAATTAAAAGCTATCTTTGCTTCATATATTATTCTTGTTGCTGAAAATTGATTAGAAGATGAGGTACTTTTTGCCATTGTATAATTCAATTTTACTTGATATGACAAATGATTTGTATCAAGTGCAGTATTAACGGTGAGCTTTGCTTTGTTGAAGGAGCTTGCTTACTCTTCCCCCTCCAAAGATGCATTTTGCCTTTGGCTCAATGACAGTGGACGAAACTGAAGAGGATAAGCCTTTGCCACAACCCAGGTTCATAAGCAGTCTAAATTCTGTTTTGAGATGTTTAGAGTTTTCACACCATCATTCTTTGACTGTAAAATTTCTCTCATCTTCTCTGTATCTTAAAACAAAGATTATAGTCACCAACACCTTCCCTCTCCAAAAATTAATTTGGCAAATTATTTACTACTACTAATAACATTATTATAAAATAATATAATATA